GGGCGGTTCGATTCCTCGCTGTCCGCTGTTGCCTGTCCGGGCTGTTCTGGGCTTATTTCGTGGATCCTGTCTGTCACCGTGGTGAGGTCATTCGAACTTGTTTCCATTATGGCAGCCAGGATCCGTTGCACATTCACTGGGAGGCGGTTTTTCCAAAGCGTCAGAACGAGGTCGTCAGAAATCGATGGGGCGGCTAGCTTCTTCAATCCTCTGTAGAACTGGGAGGGTGTCCTGTCTCCCATTTTTTTACTTTCAAACAACCTCCGCACTCTTTTGCGGTAGCATAGCGCAAACGTGGCAACGATTCATGTACAGATTCTGGCCTGCTTTAGACTTCGTATACGCGTACATCGACAATCTCTTGATAGCCTCGGAAGATGAGCAGCAACACCGCGATCACTTGCGAACCTTCGAAAGGTTAAAGGATTACGGTGTCGTAATTAACCCCGCGAAATAAGAATTTGGTTCAAGCGAAATCACATTTTTAGGATACACCGTAAATGCCGATGAAATCAAGCCGCTGGTCGAGCGTGTTAAAGCGATTGTGAACGTTCCAAAGCTCGCGACTAAGCAACTGCGAAGGTACCCCGGTATGATTAACTTCTACCAAAATTTCACATCAGCGGCCGCAAAAATCCTCCAACCACTCAACAATTTACGAAAAGATGCAAAAAAAGGGCAACGCACCCATCTAGTATTCGAAGCAGACCGAAAATAGTTTCCGCGAGTCGAAACACGCCCTCGCTGACGCCACGATGTTAGTGTCACGTAGTGGACACAAAAAATCGCAAAATTGACAGATCACCGGTGATCTCCTTCCGTCGCAGTTCGAACGTTTCACAAACAAGGTGAAGAATTGAACTTTAGTAACCAGCCCAAGCTCATTATCACAAATCTCGGACAATTTATAGTCGGACAGGGACAGTGCCGCGTTCGTCATAAGAGAGTTGTACCATTATCGTGTCCTTAAATCGCAGCCAGAGTCTTTGCGAATTAGTTCAAGTGAGTCTTCTTCAAGTGAGTCCATCGATACGTGCGGTCCTAGACTCTACATTCCCTTATTTCATCGTGATAACTCTAATGGCTGAATTCAAGCTACAACCCTAGCCTTGTCCTTAGAGAAACGGCTAAATACTACAATAGTCAAAGCTCATGAATTCGAATTCAATGTTTCACCATAATTTTATTTCCGTTCGCAGTGTCTCTAAGTTCCGAAATCAGTGTGCCGATGCTTATCCTATGTTCAAACTCTATACATACAGGGGAAATCTTCACGCTATCATACCGCAGCAACATAGCTCGACCGTGAACCGGCTCCTCTCATTTCGTTAAATAAAAGGGCGACGGTTCACTAGAAGAGATCAGTTATTCGGCAGTAAGAACAAAAATCGCTCATAGCATCTAAGACCATACTTCCAAACTTTCCCTACCGCTTCGTATAGCCAATCGGAAGCTGCTTCTATAATCTGTTACTAGAATACGTCTTATGCTCGACAATATTTCCCATCTACCAAAAATTCACAGAACACCGCTCTTGTCCTTCTTCTATCTTCCTTACAAATGTAATATTATAAAGGAACTTCGGGGCAGCCGACTATATCAAGCCGACTGTATCGAAATTCTACAGTAATTTTTCCACACTTCCAGATTTTTTCCCGACACGCGATTTGGCGAGTAGATAGCTACAACTGTATAAAACTAACTAAAATAATTTTAAACCATGAGCACATTTCCGAAATACCAAAAATCTGCAATGAAACGGCTCAACCACGGTGGAACCCACTACGAGCAAGGCTCTACCTCTGCCAACAAACAAGAGGTCTATAAGGTGACAACCTCTTCCCTAAGCTGTGAGTGGACATCGAACATTGCGCCTGGAGACATACCGAACCGTACAACAACATGGCGTATCGAGAACCAAACTTCGCAAGCCGCCATTTTGTTGGGAACTTTCGTTTAGAAAATTACTCCCATTCCGACTTATCCATGTTATTAACTCACGTGATCAAAATAACCCCACTTTCCCGATCTTAAACTATATTTACATGCGTTAAACATGGTCAACACATTCGAATTATCCCTGAATATAGTGATAACTCAGACAGTATTCGGAGGTCACTGTCGATAGTATGAGGATGTCATCAAATCAAACATACACAACTGTATACGCTTAGCTCCGTACTAATAATACCCGAAGGAGCGGCAAGCAAATAACATGAAAAGTAAATAAAATTACTTACACTCAACAGTGCAGCTTATCTCAGCCGACCGCAATGTGATTATGGAGGGAGCTACCATCCCAATATGGCGCCAACTGTTTAATATCGTATACGGCATTCTCGTCCGACACAGACGCAGTGATTTTGAAATCGAACTCTGAAGAGCAGGTCACTATCACAACATGGCGCCGATTGCCAGTCGCCGTAAGCGTCGCCTCTACTCGCGTCGATCAAGTGCATTACAAGCGGTATTGCAAAATGGTTGTACAAATCGCAATTCGATCTTGCCAAGGGTCCAGCAACAACAAGGCATCTGTCATCCTACGGATTCTTACTACCATTAACAATGTTACACGCTCTTCAACAATCTAAACGTCAACATTAGCCATTCAACTTATTACCTGCACTCTAACTGGCAAGTATCATAGACCCACGTGCAACCGTTAATTAAATTCATTTAATATTATTCAATGTAATTAATTAAATTTAATTTAAGGAATGTCACTGCAGTCCTATAAATAAATAACTACCAGGCATATCACCCTCGTCACATTGGCTCAGTCAGGAAGATTTACTATGGAATATGGGAGTCAGCTTTGCTATGGAATATGGGAGTCGGTGGTGCTTTATGCGTCCCCGGTATGGGCCAAAGCGCTGTTGACCAAGAGGAATAGAAACATCTTGAAGAGGGCACAAAGGGCCGCACTTATGAGATCGTCTACGGCCTACAGAACTGTGTCGCGAGCAGCGCTGTGCATATTGACAGATCTAGAGCAGAAATTGCTGAAAATTTTGTGGAAGGGGATATTCAACGTGTACCGTAGGACGATCAGCAAAGAAGTTCACTCCAGATACTGGGATTGCGACACGGAAGTAGACGACGCGGAGCATGCGTTGTTTCACTGCCCTAGGTGGGTCCTCGATAGGACCGAACTGGAGAGCTATGTTGGCACGACATTGACGAGGAGAAATGTTATTGAGGAGGTAATTAAGGAAGAGGACAACTGGAACTTCCACGCACTGTGCAGAAGAATTATGAAGGCGAGACAGAAACAGGAGATGGACGTAGAAAGGAGAAGAGGAATAGGAAGTTAGGGCCAAGCCTGAAGTAATGCCTAAAGGCAGTTCCGGGGTTGGTACCTGTACCATAAGAAGAGCGGATAGAGGAGGAAGAGCGGATAGAGGAGAGGTTTTTAGTCGGTATGGCAACCATCTGCTGAGTCCCACTTAACCCAATCACCCTTATCACGCTGGTAAGGTGAGCCAATGTATTTAATTTGTAGGTACTGCATGCTTAGCGCTGTCAGTGATATAGAAATTTATCCTCTTTTCCCTTGATAAGGTAAGACTGATTATATAAATAACTATTCTTATTTACGGCACAAATTTTAAAAGATGTCTGCCTATGCAAAATAGCGTCATCGCTATCACCGCATTTCTCTGATGCTGGTCAAAGCCTCCTTGATCAAGGGGCACTTTCCATGTACGGAAATTTCTCGCCGCATCGATTAGATCCATGCCAATTGCCTCGTTCCCAAGCTCACCCGCGAACAACGTGCTTAATTTACTCCCGTGCAACCTTCTCTCGAGCACCTCACTCAGGCAGTTCATCTGCGGTTGACCGAGTTGCCGGTCTTGGCGACAGGCCTTATCTTCCCACCCTCGCTCTTCTGCAGGACGTCCATGGTCTCCCTGCTCGCCGTGACCAAATCTCTAACCGCATCGCTGTCGGACCAGTAAATGCCCAATACTCCCTTCATCTTTCCCGTTTTCACCCTCTTTCCATCCACGTGCACTACTGTATTCATTTCCGTTCCACTCTTTCCCTCTAATCATTTACCAGCCCTTACCCAGTCTACGGTCGGGATGTTGTCTGGTACCTGCCATTCAGTTTCCATAAATCGAGTAACCTCCCCCTCTATTAACGTCAGGTAGTTGTCCCGCCCCAGAGAGCCCATCTTTCTGATGTTTCCTTTAAACTAATTCCACCCACGATATGACACATCTATCCCTAACCAACTACTATTACAATTAACCTTATGCTCACGAGCGGGAGCTCGCGGCAAACACGCCCGCAAGCAACGACGTCTCGAGTCGAACTCCAGTTTTGCTGTTAATTAAACTCGGTTGTCTGATTTCTAAGATTTTATGTGTTTTACACGATACGTCGATCTGCACATTTTTCCTAACATATAATGATATAATGATTTAATTTAAAAATTTAATAAGTCGATCTGCACATTTTTCCTAATGATAATGGTATAATGATTTTCAGTCTGTAAGGGTATGAACGTCAATTCTTCCAACTTGAATACAGCAGTTGGGCAGGTTTTGACTGTCTGTTGATTATTAGTTAATTCGATTCTACATTCAGGTGAACTGATTCTATTGTGACTTGGTTGAGTAAAGTCGATGATCGCCGTTCGTTTATATTTGTTTAAGTAGTGGCTATCGATAAAGGTGTATCGTTCTAAGTTAATTAGTATCAGTTTCAGTATCGGATAAATTTTTGTTATTTTCCATTCGTAGTCTTCTGAAAGCGGTACAGTTATCGTATATGTAAGTTTGTTATCATTTGTCCATAATTTTAGTTTACTTAGATCTAGAATTAGTAGAAAGTTTTGAACTGAAAGATCGATATGATTACACATAAAGTTTTGTTTCGTTATTTGGTCGAGTATTGTTAAGAATTGTTTAGGTTCCATAATTTGCGGGTTTATGATTCCTTGTTTTCCTGATACGATAGTGTTAAAAATTTCGTCGATGTTAATATGGAGCTCCGATATGGTATATTCAGTTTGAATTAGTAAAGAGATCAATATTTCGTTTTTCTCCTTATGATTTTCAATCTTGTGTATGACGTTGGTAACATTTTTAAGTTGATTCGTCATGGCATAGTCTAGCACGCGTTTGATAAGTGCGGTTTGATTACTAAGGATCGTTTTTATTTTATTGTTGGAGTCAAATAATGTATCAATATTTTCGTTAATGAGTTCTAGATCTCTTTTAAGGAAAGTTCCGATGTCACGTCCCGCGGTGCGCACGCGCCGTAACGTAGACTAAAGCTGCCAATAGCGCGAGTGAGCGTTTCAATTTGAAATTTAAATAAACTTTAATAATTTGTATAGAAACCAAATTCGAGCCTCAGAACTCCCACGGAATAACCCGTCACATAACGACCCCTCCACGGTAGACCTAAATATAAATAAGCGTAGCGACATAGAAGAGAGAGAAATAATTCCTTAGTTCAGAGTAGTTAATTCCTCAGTTCTGTGTGATTAGTTCCTCAGTTCTTGGTGATTAATTCCTTGGTTCTTATCGAACAGTTCCCCAATTCTTGGCAAGTAATTTCTTTGCTCATAGCGATTAATTCTCAATTCCTTTAGCTCTTAATTTCTCCGTTCCTTTGCCTTTCAATTCTTAAGTTCCTTAGCTTTTCAGCTCTTAGTTCCTTTAGTTCTTAGTTTTTTGCTCTCAGTTCTTAAGTTCTTTAGTCCTTTAATTCTTTAGCTTTTAGTTCTTTGTTTCATTAGTTCCCAGTTCTTGTTAGTCTTGTTAATCGACGTGTTTGTATTTGTCAATTTGTAAATTATTGAAAATCTATCAAATTAAAATCTTGTAATTAATAAGAGTGAAAACGTATTGCGAACGATTGTGACTTCGAGTATTCAAAATTTCAACGAGTATTCTGGCAATATCCAATTAGAATACGAATAAACATTTTTTGTGAAGAATATTTGTCTAATAATATTATTATATTATTAGATTAAGCGAACATTTATTTTCACCAACTTTTATCCTCTTCCGTGCCAGTACTACTGCGCGTACCAGGTTAGCCGAAACGTGGAGTTTAATTGCCAATCGCATTAAACGTCAGACAACACTACCATTTAATCTAAATTAAAAAATTAATGGCAACACAACCAAAACGAACCAAACAAAAACGTAACACCGAATAGAGTTTTAGATATTGAGCCCATGACGTTGAGCAGTCCGAGTTTGCTTCTATAGTGTAATAACAATTTTAAGTTGATGCGTTAGGTTTTCGAGATTTCTATACTTGATTTTTAGATTGTTTATCTCTGGTATGTAAGCGCAAAGTGATTTGCATTAACGGTTTATTAGCTCAATGTTGTAATCTATTGGTTTGATCGATTGTGTTATTAATGTAAATGTTTTCTCAAAATCTGGGTATTGTAGTACCGGAGCATCACAGAGTTTTTGTTTTGATGTGTCAAATGCAAGCTGTTATTTATCAGTCCAGTGGAATGGAGTGTCTTTCTTTGTGAGATCTGTCAGTGGTTTCGCGAATTTATAAAAGTCGTGTATAAATTTTCTGTAGTATCCAACGAGTCCTGAGAATGATTTTATTTGAGTCGCGGTTTTTGGTATTTTAAAATCTTTCACGACCTGAATCTCTTTGGGATTGGGTTTCACTCCTTTGTTACTACGTGACCTAGATATTCTAAAATTCGCATTTGTCCGGTTGTATCTTTAATCCTAAATTTTGTAATCTTTCTAATACAATAGCTAGATTTCGATTATGTTCTTAGATGGTACCTCAGAATATTATGATGTCTAAGTATACGAAACAGTTATGTCCTACTAATCCCGGTAGCGCGGTATCCATCGTGCGTTGGAATGTTGCTGGTGCGTTTTTGAGTCCGACGGGAATGCGATTATATATGTCGGAGATGAAAGAACACCGGAGCCTCTGGAATTTTGGATAATTCCGCAACATTGTAATCTAGAGTCTACTATAGCTGTAATTAAACAATTGTAATTATTCAATCCGATTGTAATTGTTCGAGGTTAGTGATAGTGAGCTTTGGCTCGAGGCGACAGTCTGTTGCCTAACGTAGCCGCGGTCACGGGATGAACGCTTCGTCTAACAAAGGTAATGGAGTAATTCTATAGCTCTTCTTAAAGGAAATATTTCTGGCGGCGCGCGACAGTGAACATTCCAACGGTTTCTGTCCCATGGCTCACCACACGCAGACCCTATTCTTCGAGTAAGATGATTGCCAGATGTCGATGCGTCTTCGCAGTACATGTTCAGCTTTTTTTTGTGTGTGGAGAAATCCTCATGGACACTCCGCTGCTGCAGGACGCGTAGCAGCAGAGCAGTGTCGGTCTCCTACCGACTAAAACTCCACGATGACCATCCTACGCGCGCG